TCACCAAAGCTTTTTGCTCTCCAAGTTTTGTTCTCCAAGTATGAACAAAGCTTTTTTTCCTCTGAGTGTCACCAAAGCTTTCTGTCCTCTGTCACCAAAGCCTTTTGTTCTCCAGGTGTCACTTTTCCAAGTGTCACCAAAGCTTTTTGTCCTCTGACTGTCACCAAACCTTTTTGCTCTCCAAGTTTTGATCTCCAAGTGTCAGCAAAGCTTTTTTGTCCTCCGAGTGTCACCAAAGTCTTTTGTTCTCCAGGTGTCACCAAAGCTTTTTGTCCTCTCTCACCAAAGCCTTTTGTTCTCCAGGTGTCACTTTTCCAAGTGTCACAAAAGTGCCTTTTGTTCTCCAGGTGTCACCCTCCACTTCAGGAAACTGCTGAGGGTGTGAATTTATTTTAAAGCCCCTTGGTACAGCAATAAGAGAACCTTTGTTGTTTCAGCTTAGGATCAGGAAAAAGCATGGATTTGTCCTTTTCCAGGCTGGGCAGTGGGCTGCAGGAATGAGGGAACATTTCTTGTTTCCATCCAGGATTTGGGTAACTTTTCATTCTGCAAGACAGGGGCAGAGCTGCCCCTTCCTTGGAGCTGCAGGAGCACTCAGGAAGAGGCTGAGCCCTCCAGGGCTCTCCTTGTGCCACAGCAGCACCTGCTGGGAGACAGCAGCTGGCACAGCTGGTGACAGCCTGGCACAGTTGGTGACAGCCTGGTGACACCTGCCTGGCACCCTTCCCTACCCATCCCAACTTGGCTGGCACCCCCTTGATTCATCCCTGCTCCTTTCCTCATGCATTTGAGCCCCTGGAGCCACCTTTGCCTGCTCATCTTTGCACAAGGGGTGGAAAGAGAGGAAATGGCCTCAAGTTGTGCCAGGAGGGGTTTAGTTGGATTCCTGCTTGGAAAGGGTTTAGTTGGATATCAGGGAGAATTACTTTCCTGCCTGGAAAGGGTTTAGTTTGATATCAGGGAGAATTCCTGCTTGGAAAGGGTTTAGTTGGGTATCAGGGAGAATTCCTGCTTGGAAATGAATTTTCCTTTCCAGGGCAAGGGTGGAGTCCCCATCCCTGCAGGGATTTAAAATCCCTCTGGATGTGGCGCTTGGGGCAGTGGTGGCCATGGAACTGTTGGACTCAATGATCTCAGAGGATTTTCCAACCTGAACAATTCCATGATTCTCTGTGTCTAACCTTGCTCATCCAGACTCACCATTCCCTGCTCTGGGGTCTCCCAAAATGTTTGGGGGAAAAAAAATTCTAATTTTTATTTTCTCCTCAATCCTTTTGCGATGCATTGCTCATGGAGGCAAATTCCACGTGCCCCTGCTGTGTCACCCTTCCCCAAAAACAGGGATTTATCTTTTCAGCCTGTTGCTAATTCCAGCTACATTTACCAATGGAACAGACAGCTCATAATTAAATACCTGTGAGGTTGTGACAACAAATAGCTGGGCTGGAAAGGGGAAACCCTGCCAAACCCAGCCAAAAACCCTTCTGTGCAAAGGTCTGGGCTTTTTTCTCCCCCTAATTAGTGAGTGGAGAATCCTCCTAATTAAAGAAATTAGAGGGTCCAAATTAGGGGGATCTAGAGCCATAAATGGGGGGAGGACCGAGAAATTTGTGGTGGGATCTCATTGTTCCTCAAATGTAACCCAGGGGTGCAGCCAGGCTTTGGATTGATGGCATTGTCCCTAGAATTTTTCATCTTTGAGCAAAGATTTGGGGCTTTTTCTCCTTCTAATTAGAGAATGGAGAATCCCCCTAATTAGAGGGTCTAAATTTGGGGGAGCTGGGGCCATGAATGGGGTGGGGGACAGAGAAATTCTTGGTAGGACCTCGTTGTTACTCAAAAGTGACCCAGAGGTGCAGCCAGGCTTTGGATTGATGGCGTTGTCCCTGGAATTCTTCATCCTAATGGATGGCCTTGTCTCTCCTGTCCCCTGTGCTGCTTCCAGGAACAGCAGGAATAAATCCTGGGAACCATAACGAGCTCTCAGCTGCCTCGCAGTGACAGGCACTGCAAAATGTCACGGGAGACGAGGAGTCAGGGATTGGAGGGGATCTTTCCATCTGGGACACTGACAGAGCCTTCCTTATCAGCTGTCACCACCCTCGTGGTGCTGCTCCTTATCTCAGCGAGGTGCAGCTTTTTCTGCTGTGCCGTTATCTCTGCTTTTTCAGGAAAAACTGGTGGGAAAAGAGGGGGAGTTACTGCACTTGCACAGGGGATTTTTGTCGTGGATCTGCTTTTTTCCCCCTCCAAACATGGACGTGCTTCTTGTGTTTTCCCAAATTTCCTGCCTTGTCCCAGCTGGAATGGCTGATTCCCAGGCTGGGATTGGATAGCTCAGACTGGGATTGAATTCTCAAACTGGGATTGGATAGCTCAGACTGGGATTGGATTTCCAGTCTGGGATTGGATAGCTCAGACTGGGATTGGATTTCCAGTCTGGGATTGGATAGCTCAGGCTGGGATTGGATAGCTCAGACTGGGAATGGGTTCCAAGGCTGGGATTGGATTCTCAGGTTGGGATTGCATTCCCAGGCTGGGATTGGATTCCCAGGTTGGGATTGGACAGTTGAAACTGGGAGTGGATAGCTCAGACTGGGATTGGATTCCCAGGATGGGATTGGATTGCTCAGATTGGGATTCGATAATTCCGATTGGGATTGGATGACTCAGACTGGAATTGCATTCCCCAACTGGGATTGGATAGCTCAGACTGGGATTGCATTCCCAAACTCGGATTGCTTTTCCAGGCTGGGATTGGATAACTCAGACTGGAATTGGATAACTCAGACTGCCATTGGATAGCTCAGACCGGGATTGCATCCCCAGACTGGGATTGGATAATTTTTTGCTCACCCTTTGCTCTCGCACAGCCTGGAAATGTTGGGATCTAGAAGAGGCTGTCAGCACCACCTATCCAGGGACAGCTCCACAGGGACAATTCCCAGAGGGAGAATTCCCATCCAGGCCCCAGCTGGGGCTGCAGCAGAGCTGGCTGGGCTGGCCCAGGGCTTTTCCCTTGGGACATTGGGATCACAGGGACCTCAGGATATCAGGGATCTCATCCCAGTAACCCCTCATCTCTGGAGGGCAGTGAATCCCTGAGCCAGGGCAGGCTGAGATTCCCAGGGAAGCCTGAGGAGCCTCCAGCATCCATCCAGCTGGGAAAGGCATGGATCCAACAGTCCCAGCTGGGAGCAGATCCACTGCACAGGCTGGGAAAGGACAAATCCAGGATTTTTCCTGATCCACAAAGGGTTCTGTCACATTTGCCCTCAGCTGAGAAGCCACAAGCCAGGGGAGCTGGAAAATCCTGGCTGCAGGTGGACACCTTTCCCTATAAACTGTATTTTCCTTCTTGGAACAGCACCTTTCCTCCACTTTGGTCCATGATTTCATAGTGCTCCAGCTCCTCTGGGAATTTTCCTGTGCACAGAACATGCTGTGGCACAAAACCACATAACTGAGAATTAATAATGTTTTATTCATATTGGAAATGTTTTATTAAGCAGTTGTTGTTTATTTCTTTTTAATTTTTCTGGATTTTTTTAAAATATAAAATAATTTTTCCTTCCCTTCCCTGTGGAAAAAGCTCTTCCCATGTCTGCCTGTCCCACCTGACAGGAGCTATTAAAGCCTTCAAAACAGCTGAAAGCAGCACTTTGCTTCCTGTGAAAGGCCCAGATTTCAACTCTGATTCCTACCAGGCTTGTCAGGGCTGGAGACAGGGAGCAGATCCCAGGGGAAAGCTGGAATTGCTTCTCACTGGGACAAGTTTGTTGTTTCTGTCCCCTGGGGGTTGAAAATTGCTTTGGAATAATTTTTCTGCAGACAGGAGGGAGGTGCAGGCTGGGTTTTGTCAGGCCTGGCATTCCAGGAAAGGAGCTGAGGGAAGGGCAGGGAGGAGAGGAAAAGCTCCTGAAGGGACTGTGTTCCCACAGGGAATGTCTGCCCTTGCTGCAGGACAGGAGATCCATCAGGGAAGATGAGTTTTCAGGAGGCACCAAGGGAAAAGGAGGGTGGGCAGTGTTTAAATCAGGATTTTCCATCTCTCCATGCACACCGCAGCATTCCAAAAGTGTTCCAAGCAAGGCTGGACAGCTCCCACTGTCCCAGGGTGCCCCAATGTCCAGCCTGGCCTTGGGCACTGCCAGGGATCCAGGGGCAGCCACAGCTGCTCTGGCAATTCCAGCCCAGCCAGGAATTCCCAATTCCCAATCTCCCATCCATCCCTGCCCTCTGGCACTGGGAGCCATTCCCTGTGTCCTGTCCCTCCATCCCTTGTCCCCAGTCCCTCTGCAGCTCTCCTGGAGCCCCTTCAGGCCCTGCCAGGGGCTCTGAGCTCTGCCTGGAGCCTTCTCCTCTCCAGGGGAACATTCCCAGCTCTCCCAGCCTGGCTCCAGAGCAGCTCCAGCCCTTAGAGGAGCTCCTCTGGATTTGCTGCCCCGCATCCACATCCTTGGTGTCCTTGGCAATCACCTGCTCACTGTGAGGTGCTCCTGCTCCATGGGGCTGCTGGGAATAATTACAGCGTCCTTTTTGGAATTGTTAATTCCTGTCTACATGGAATAAACACCACTTGACGGACCCCAGCTGCATTTTGGGGTCAGGCCTCCAGTTCTGAGGTGATTTCTCAGTTGCCACAACCCTTCCTCATCCACAGCCATTTATCCATGCGCTGGATAAAAAAAATCAGCAGCCAGGCTGTTCTAAAAAAATGGGATTTAGTGCCAAATGGGCCTTTAATGGAAAGCAGAACTGGCAGTGGGGGAGTGAGCGATGGTGGGAGGGTACTGGGAGCTCTGGGAGGGCACGAGTGTCACAGCAGAGCTGGGAAATCTCCTCTGAGGCTCTCCAGGCCGCTGAGAAGTAAATGTGGGATCTTCCAAAGAGCACAACCCACACATTGCTGTGGATAAATCCCCTTTTCCATGGATGATCCCGGCAGGAAATCTATTCCTGGTGCCTGATTGCTGACCCCTCTCCTCTCTCCTTGGCAGTGCCCCCCAACCTGACGGTGCCTCAGGAGAAGTCCCCGCTGGTGACGCGGGAAGGGGACACCATCGAGCTGCAGTGCCAGGTGACGGGGAAGCCCAAGCCCATCATCCTGTGGTCACGGGCTGACAAGGAGGTGGCCATGCCCGACGGGGCCCTGCAGACCGAGAGCTACGACGGGATCCTGCGGATCGTCAACGTCTCCCGGGAAATGAGCGGGACCTACCGGTGCCAGACCAGCCAGTACAACGGGTTCAATGTCAAGCCCAGAGAGGCCTTGGTGCAGCTCATCGTGCAGTGTGAGTAAAGCCTTGCTTTCCCTTGGTTTTCTCTTTGTTGCGCTGAGAAAAAGCTGATTTATTCCTCACCTAAACAAACAGCGGCAAGAGTCTTATGGCTGTTACATATTTGATGTGGGGTTGTTTGTCTCTGTAGTTCCCTGAATCCATGAATTCCATGTAAATGTGGAAGTAAAAACGACATAGGAGTCTCATTTCTGGTAAGAAAAACCAGAAAAAAATCAAAACAAAAAAATCCCAACCAAGTGTGAGGCAATCATACTTTTCCCCACAGCTTTGAATTCCTTGACACACGAACAAGCAGATGAGATGTGAGCACGTATTTCTCTAAATGCTGAGCTGATCCTGTGCTCATTTGTTGCTGCTGTGTAAAACAAGGAGGGGAAAAGGAGGGCAAGAGCTGTTCCCTGGGAGCTGATCCGCATCCAGATCCAGCCTGCTCTGCTCTGCCAGCCAGCCTCGGGAATGGGGAGGGAAAAGGGGGGAATCAGTTATTTTTTATTTTGGAAACGTGTGGTGTTTGTTGTCAGAGCACGGAAAGCCTGGTTTGAGGTGGCTTCTGGGGAATAACGGGGGGATAATGAGCCATTCTTTGGGCTGAGTGACTTCCCTGCCTCTGCTGCTCTGTCAGGACTTAATTTGGGTGTTTTATGAAGTGCAGCCCTCATTTCTTCAGACGCCCCAATCTTCTGTCACTTGGCTTTTTAGCAGCGGTCTGTGCTCAGCACAAGTGACCTCTTTCGGGGCCTCCAGGGAAGAGCTGCTCCTCACACGTCCTCAGTGCTGATAAGCAACTGATTTGTTTTTCCTGGCTCTGCTTTGTAACAGATGCATTGATTACATGGCTGGGATCTGCAGGACTTCCACCCCAGCTTCTTCCTGCTACTCCAGCTTTAAATCCCAAAGTTGAGGCTGAAGGGAGGATGGAATCTTCTCCCCTGTGGGTTTCTCTTGTGTTAGGAGTGGGTTCATCCCGCTGGAATTAGAGTGAGAGGTCTGTGCCTCCTGTCCTTGGCTCAGTCATTTTTTCCTGGAGCAAAGGAGGCTCAGGGGGCCCAAGCCCAGCATTGCTTGGATTCATTGAACCCACAGCAGGAATTTCCCCATGGAAAGGGATTGGCACTGCCCAGGGAGGGTTGCAGTGCCCATCCCTGGTGGTGTCCAAGGAATTTCTGGAGGTGGCACTGAGAGCTCTGGGCTGGGGACAAGGTGGGCATTAGGCACAGCTGGGACTCTGATCTTGGAGCTCATTCCCAACCTCAATGATCCTGGGATTCTCTGAATCTGGGAATGAGAACCACCACAGAAACAGTAGAGTGCTGATCCTTCTAAATAAGGAGAGGGGAAGTAAATTCTTTCTCCTTTTTCTGGTATGAATTTGCTGAGAAAAGTAGAAAATATTTTGTGTCTGAGGAATTCCAACAGCTTCGCACTTCCTCAGGACCTGAGGCAGTTCCTGGTGGATCCCATGGGATGACTCTGCTGACTCTCAGATTCTGGGGGTGCCTTGCTGGGGTCACTGTTATTTTCCCACCTTTTCCTGCTGCCAAACCCCTTCCTTTGATTCATTTTTATTCTGCTTGAGATGCAGAATTTTCCTAATTCTGAAAGAAGAGGCACAACCTGAAAATGCTTCCAAGAAGTAGGAGTTCAACAGGTATTTCCAGGCGTTTTCCCTTTCATCTCTCCGTGTTTAGAATTCTGCTCCCTTTGTTCCCATCCTGGCAAGTGACAAATTGGAGATGAATGGAGAAAAATTATGGAAAGCTTTGATTATTTTTCCTGTGGGAGGAAAGTTTTTGTTCCCAACGACTTGAGCAGCGTTTCTGTGCCGACGGTGGCATTTAACCAATTGTCATAAAAACCAGTTCTTTTCAGAATTTGGGAATATTTATCCTGGATGCTTCCAGCAGTGATGAGCGGGGAAAGATTTTTAATGGAACACTTTCATTTAGAGAATAACTAATGGATTTCACTGTGGATGTGCTGAGTGAGAATATTCCCATTCTTGGGAAGGTTCTCCTTGTGACACTCACTAAAAGTGGTTAATTAATCTATTTTCAAGGAATTATGGAATGTCCTGAGTGGGAAGGGACCCAAAAGGATCACAAATCCAACCCCTGGCCCTGCACAGACACCCCAACAATCCCACTCTCTGCAGCCTTGGGAATGTGCTCATTCCTTGGGAATCTGTTCCGCAGGGCAAATCCTTCTGTGGAATTTCTGCTCCAGGCCACATCTGTTGGGTCAAGCTAGAGAAAAATGAAAAGTAAATTCAAATACAAAGGATTTTTTTTTTAATTTGACCCCCTCATCCAATGAGTTTTTGTTTTCCTCACCTCTCTTTGCTGTGATCCCTTTATCCCATCTCAGTGATGTCAGGATCCCAGCCTGGGAGTTCTCCAGGAAAATTGTGGATTTTGGTCTTGCTCAGTTTGTCCTTGAACTGTGGTTTAAGATTTTTTTATGTGTGTGTGTTTACCTTAAATCCTAAAACTTCTCTAGAAAAATGAAAATCCTGGAGTCACAGAATGGTTTGGGTTGGAAGGGAATTTCAAACCCATCCCATTCCAACCCCCTCCATGGGCAGGGACCCCTCCCACTGTCCCAGGCTGCTCTAAGATGAGATTTCCCATCATGGGTTGGATGGGAGATTGGGAATTGGGAATTCCTGGCTGGGCTGGAATTGCCAGAGCAGCTGTGGCTGCCCCTGGATCCCTGGCAGTGCCCAAGGCCAGGCTGGACACTGGGGCACCCTGGGACAGTGGGAGGTGTCCCTGCCATGGCAGGGCTGGCTCTGGGTGGGATTTAAGGTCCCTTCCCACCCAAGCCACTCTGGCATTCCATTTTATGATCGTCCAGCTGCAATTGTGGATAAATGAATTTTTAAGGAATAAATCAAACCCTGCTGGTGGCAGACAGGGCCCAACCCAGGGACAATTTGCCAGCCCCACTTTTCCACCTGCAGGAGAGGGTGGGGGTGTAAAAGTGCCACCAGGTGCCACCTTGGGCAGCATTTCCATCATGTCCCATCGCAAGTGATCAGAGCAGTGAGGATGGGATTGTTTTCCCCAGCTCCCTTTTCTTTCTGCACTCCATAAAATCCTATTTAGAGCCCAAACCCCTTCCCAAACTCATCCATCTCCAAACCCTTGGAAAGCCTCTTAAAACATCCAAGATACTTCATGGAAGCCTGGCTGGCAGAGAATTGGTGGCCACATTGGGATGCCCCAGAATTTCCTGTTCTGCTGGAGCTCAGCTTTGTTTGTGCCATTCTTCCTTGGTAATAAATCCCAAATAACTCTGGAAAAGGGGCTCATCCTGCAGGGATTAGATTGAGAATGGAAAAGAGCTAATTAAGGAGAAAGATGAGGCTGAGTGATGTTCTCAGGTGCTGAGGGAGCAGCAGAAATGCATTATTCCCATTTTCCATCAGCTGGAGGATCCAACCCTGAGTCCTCTTTCCTTGATTTTTGATTTCTTTGCAACTGGGAATGGGAAAAGGAATTTTTCTGCCTTGGAAAGGCAATTTGGTAGCTCAGGAATATGCTGGGTCTGCTCTGGAAATATCTGCCTAATTAAATATTTATGTGCAAATATTGTATTAATAATGAAATAAAAATTGTTGTGAGAGAAGGGAGCGTTCCCTATCCCAAATGGGACTGAGATTAATGAGCTAAAAACTCTTGGAATTTTAGGAAAGTCATTAGGAGAAGATGTTTGAACAGGTAGGGTGGCCAATCCCTGTGGGAATTTACCAACTTCATGGAATTGTCTTGTGAATGCAGATCAGGAGTGTGGTAAAACTCCCAAAAAGTGAAATCTTCCAGATTATAAAATTTTAATTATGAAAACTCATTAAAAAGGGATAACCAAGCAATCTGAGAAATCAAGTGGGGCAAATATCTGGATTTTAAAACAAATCTCTTATAAATCTATGCTTGGGCAGGCTGGAATGATGAAGGAAATCAGAATTTGCATTTAATATTAATATTATTTACATCCTTTTTTTTTTTCCCTTTTATGATTGAAGATTTGAGTGGGAAAAGCTGATTAATATTCAGGACAAATATTACATAACCCAATCCATTCCCAGGCTGGTGCGTTTATCACTTTCTGAATGAATTCTTTCTCTGGAGATAAAAGTTGGGTTTAATTTGGGCTGTTTGTGGGGGGAGAAAGGACAGCCTAAAAACAAGTTTAGAACAGGGTCCATTTTTTAAAATTTTTAGCTATTTTTTCCTTCTCTTCCAATGATGTAATGACCTTAACAACTTGAAAATATCAAAATAATGGTGCTCCCATTGCTTTGATAATTTTGATTTGCTTTCCAAACTGGGTTTTTCCACTTTCCTGCCCAAAAGGATTTTCCCAGGATATGGCAGAGGTCGATGCTGCTAAACTGAGCTTAAAGCTTGGACCTTCCTTTGGGGATATTTATTGCTATGTTTATTTTATATATAAATACAGAGAGATTGAGGCACTCCAGATAGATAATTCCCATGTTGGGGTTTTTAACCAATGGATCCTTCCCTACTCCTTAATTCCTAGTCCAGAAACTTCCCAGAAAATTGTAAAACAGCAAAATCTATTCTCTAAGATCCTCATCTGATCGAGGCTGATTTCAGAATAACCCAGAGGCAAGGATGGCTTTGGGTGTAATTTATCCACATGGAGCAGGGCGGGTAAGAAAATAGGGAAATCACAGATGGCTGGACCAGGAAAGAGAAATCCCAGGAGCTTTTTGACATTTAGCAAGGTCAAGGACAGCGTGAGTTTGGTGACCCAGGGAGGTGATGAATATGCAAACCCTGTAGAAAATTTAGATGACAACCAGATAATTTGAATTTTTTTCATAATTTTTTACTAAAATTATTATCTTGGACAGGCCTTCTTGTCAGAAATTGCAAAAAACCCAGAGCACTCCAGAACCTGAATAAACAGAGATGTTATTGAGGGAGGCAAAATGAAATTATTTATATTGGGGTTTTCTGGGAATT